TTAGTTGCTAATAGCCTCCTGTGGACAGAAGCCTCACTGATAACATAAATAGTTGATTCACACATTTTGTCTGTTATATGTATCATCTGCTGTGTTCTTACCATAAAGTAGCTACAGAAAAGATGTAATTAAGATCATAAGGGAGAGAAAATACATATTTTATGCATTTAGGACATACCTTTTTCTTAAAATTTCTTTGATATTTCTAGGCTACGTAGTTTTTGTGAGTTTTTTCAAATGATTACAAACCTCTGAAAAATTTCCCAGTATGCTGAAAAACGTCCACACGCAGTGGGCCGGCACAGTTCAGACCCGAGTTGTCCAGGGGCGACCGTTTTTGGTGCAGGGGCTCATCAGAGGTGCTGCTCCCCGGTACCCCCTGGGCCTCTGGTTTCATCCGAGTGACTTACCAGGTTCAAGAGGCCGGGAATACGTGAAACTCACAGGTAGATTGAGAAATTATAAACTTGCTACATTCTGTAAACCTAATTGGAAACAAAATACTTCTTAATGAAAAGCCTCTTTTCTCCTTCCTTTTCCTTCCTCTCTCATTGCGGGGGTCCCCCTCCTGCTGTGAACACCCACTAGAGCCACAGACTGAGTGCTGAGCTTGCTTCTCAAGGTCCGGGACCAAGAAAAGGCAAGTGTAGCTCGAAAAAGCCATTACGAAGCCAGACGCTTCCAAACCTTCATGCCAAGTTCATATCGGCATTTAAAAACCAAATGTCAGCCCTGGCCGGTTTGGCTCAGCGGTTAAAGCGTCGGCCTGCGGTCCTGAGAGACCCGGGTTCGGTTCCCGCTAAGGGCACGTGCCTCGCTCGCAGTTTGTCCCTGGCCCTGGTTGGGTCGTGGAGGAGGCAGCCACTTGATGTGTCCCTTTCACGTCGATGTTTCTCTCTCTCTCTCCCTCCCACTCTATCTGAACAAAAAATGGAAAAATGTCCTCGGGTGAGGATAAAAAAAAAGAATGTTAAAATATCCATGTCCAAATGATTACTCCAGCCCTTTTGGGGGACTGGATTAATGATAATCAGTGCGCACTGTGAGGCCAGTGGCCACACTGCCCAGCCACGCAGAGCCCGGTGGGGTCCGGGTCAGCTTGGAGTCGGAGGGGCCAGTCAGCTGTCTCCTGGACGAGACTGGGAACCACCAGCCAGGGTTGTGGGTTCTGCTGTCTTCGGCCTTGTCCGCAGCTGTGACCAGCGCCTACAGGAGTGGGCGGCACAGAGGACCATGCAGGCACCCAGTCAGGGTGGGCAGAAGGCACGCTGGGGCCTCTGTAGCCCGCGGAGAGGCCCCAGGCGAGGGGGGGGTGTGGACTCCCCACGGACGGAGCTGCCGGTCCGGTTTTGGTCCTTCACCTCCTCTTCCCATTCGTTTGATTATGGCAAGTAAATGCCTGAAGGACTTAGACATCAGGTCGAGGGTCCTTCCTTGGCCTCTCGGAAGTATTTAATTGCTTTAGAGAAGTGACTTTCGAGAAGGGGAATTAGGAACCCCTAATTAAGGTGGGGCGATCTCTGGGAGCTTCCGGGAGGGGCTCTCCCAGCAGCAGGCTCCGGACAGGAGAAGAGGCAGGAGTCACGGGTGCAGTGAGACCTTCCAGAACCTTCCGGTGAGGAAGAAGCAGGGCCGCCTGGGTGTTTATGTCTGAATGTGCCCCATGGGCGAGGGTTTGGAGAGAGCTGACCACATGCCCTGAACCCAAACCATGGGTGTGCTTTTCCGGGGACGTTCAGATCAGCAGTTGGCTTTCCCCGATCAGGCAGGCTCGACTGGGCGTAGATGGTGAGCCACCCTGCCTGGGGGATCCGGGCTCCCGGGTGGACGTCGCTGTGATTCCGTGACCTGCTTTTCATTCTTTCTTTGCCCCGTCTGGAGAGACATGAGAGCAGTGGTCTTTTCTGGGCCATGGGGACCATTTTGCATGTGACAGTGTCTGCTGTTGGCAGACATCAGATCTCAGAGGAGAACGTCGGGGAGCTTGCTGAGTAAGGCCGAGCCTGGGCGAGCATGAGCTTGGCCCTGACCGCAGCTCTCAGGCGTCTGAAGAATGCACTTGACCAGCAGCCCCTCCGGGCGGTAAAAGCAGCTGCTCGGGCTGTCACATGTCGCCGGGTCTCTTCGTGGGGACCCTGGGCTCGGCATGCAGGGTCCCACCGCCTTGCCCCCCGTGGTCTGGGAGAACCTGAGGTGGGTGCTTCAAGGAGACGGAGCCTTGGGCAGCCAGAAGGTGAGAGGCAGGGGCGCCGGCCAGAGGACAGCCGCGTGTGACGCTCACCTCGCAGTCTCGGTCCCACCAGCTCTGCTCTCTGCGTGACCTCCTGGGTTCACTTGCCCCGTGTTAACTTGTTGGGTGAGAGCCCCCCCCCCACATCCAACACCAGGCTCGTTGACCTTTATTAGCATTTTGGTTTTTGCTGTGTCACCTGCTTGGCTGATGGACTGTGGTCGGCACGATTGTTTCTAATCACTGATGTCCCTTCGGTCGGCTGGCCAGCCCCCTCGCCCCCAATTCCTGAAGGTTCGGGGGGACCGCTCCTTGGTTTCTGGCAGCTGTCTTCACCTCTCTGTCCCCCCTCCTGCCTTCTCTTTCCCAGGCTGGGGGACCCTGTCGACCCTCTGCCCCCGGATCTCTGCGTCCATTTCTGTCCCCACCCCCACCGCACAGAACACCTGGAACAGGTTTCCGCAGACGTCCTGCCCGGCAGGTCCAAAGCCTCTGGGTTCTCTGGCGCCTGCGCCCCGGCTCTGCCCTCCACCCCGTGGGAAGGTCCGAGGCTCCATTCTCTCCGGACTCCGGGATTATTCTAGGAAGACCCCCGCCTTCCGAGTTCTCTGGCCCCGGCTCTGGCCTGCCTCCGCATCTCCCGCAGGGCCTGCAGGTCACCTTGGCAGAGTCTGTAACTCGCACCTCCCCAGCCGGCCCTCCCGCGTCCCGGGGCCGGGCCTGGTTACCGTCGGGCCCAGGCACGCGTCCCAGAGGGAGCTGCTCACGGCGCTTGCTTTGTCTTTTCAGGGGTGTCGTTTCTATCGTACTGCCTCTTTGAGCAGCAAATGGTCACAGTGCCAGTTTTCCGGATTTAAAGTAGAACAGTTGTTCAGGGGGCATTCAAATTCCGTCGGTCATACCATTTTCTGTGGTTTGGGAGCATTTTAAAAATGTTTTTTATTTTATTTGTTGATCTAGAGGGAGAGATGGGTTGCTCCAGTGACTTACGCACTCGTTGGTTGCTGCTTGGATGTGCCGTGGCCAGGGATCGAACCCGCCACCTTGGCGTATCAGGGTGATGCTCCAGCCGACCGACCTACCTGGCCAGGGCCTAGAAATTGTTTCCGTTGCAGTGACCTTTGTTTATTTTTAACCAGAGATGTTCTTTTTCGGAGCGAGTCCTGCTGACTTCCCTTCCGACTCCCCCTGTCAGTGTTGACAGCTGTGTCCCCACCAGCCCTCCGGTCCTCCCCGTCATCCTTTGAGATGACTCTCCGTGTCACTCCTGAAGTCGTCGGTCGAGGGCCATCCTCTGCCTGGCCCAGAGCCTCCTTTGTGGGAGAAGCCAGGCCCTCCCCCCTTCCCCCCGATGCCCGTCCTCAGACCTCACCCACGGACCGCTCAGCGGGTGCTGTGCCCAGCGGTCACTTCCGCCTCGGCCGCGTGGCTGTCTCGGTGCCTGCGTGCCCTGAGGACTGACGACCAGCTGTCTGCCCAGCACAGAGGGCAGGTCTGGGGTTGGGAGTGGAGTCAGGTTTCGAGATCAGCTAATAAAAGCACAGGATATGCAGCTGCCTTTGAACTACGGCTAAATCACGGGTGATTTTTTATATAAGTGTGCCCCGTGCAACGTGGGCAGTACACGCTCCCTGTAACACGGCCTGTGTGACATGTACAACATTCCTCTATAAAAATATGGACGCACGTCCTGGCCAGTCTGGCTCAGCGGTTAGAGCGTTGGCCCGTGGACCAGAGAGTCCCGGGTTCGGTTCCCGCGAAGGGCACGTACCTCGGTTGCAGTTTGTCCCCGTTCCCCGTTGGGGTCGTGTGGGTGGCAGCCACTCCATGTGTCTCTCTCATGTGGATGTTTTTCTCTCTCTCACCCTCTCCTGCTCTATCTGAAGATAAATGCCAAAAAAAAAAAAAAAAAAGTCCTCGGGTGAGGATTAAAAAAAAAAAATTGACTCGGGCTTACCAGAATTTCAGATGTGACCAGGCATCTCGCTTGTTATCTGGCATCCCAGATAGAATTCCACTGACAGACGCTCCGCCATCGCCCCTGCGTGGGGCCGTGGACTGCTGTGCACACGCCTGTCTAGGAAGCCTCGTGATGGCAGACTCCTCTGGACATGGAAGGATCTAGAGAACTGGGTGGAGAGCAAAACCAGGGTGCACGTGCTGTGAACCTGACCCTGGCTGGCACGGAGATGACCTTGCTCGGAATAACCACTTACTTCCGGGGTGGAGAGCGGGTCCCTCACGCGCATCCCCGAAGCCTCCAGGTTAGGTTCAAAGAGCCAAAGAAATGTCTCTGTTGAGAAGTCGTGAGTCTTGTAGGGTTTGGCGTGGCCGGAAGCACGGTCAGCGGGAGACCCGGGCGCTGGGGGCCGACCTGCGGGGGGGGGGGCAGGCCGGCGGTGCAGGTGTGGACTGTGCGCACGGCACTCCAGGCTTCGGGTGACAGCATAGCTGGGTTGGAGTCCTGGTCCCACCACTTCCTCTGTGACCTTGGGCAAGGTGCCTCACCTCTCTGTGCAAGAAGTGTTTTCATTCGTAACGTGGGGAGGATGCCTGTCGTGAAATGTTGTTGGGGACCCAAAATGATATGTGATGTCAAGACAGTCATAGGTCCTGTACTCTAAATGCCGAAAGAGTGATTCCGTAATGTCAAGAGCTGACCCCGTTCTTGCGAGCCGTGTGTTGCACGTGGAGAGTCTGCTCTGGGAGCTCTGTCGGCCGACTTCCTTCCCACGCATGGTTCCCTCTGTCTCTCCGTCTGTCTGTCTAGGACTGACACAGATTCCTCAGATCCAGAAGACCGAGATTTCCTTCCAGCCCAGCAACCCCAAGACCTACGAGGTGTACGTGCGGAACATAGTCCGGTTCCTGGAGAAGTACAAGGAGCTGGCCCAGAAGGACGAGATGATCTTTGAAAACTGTGGCAGTGAGTAGATTCATGTCGGATGTCTGTGGTAGGCTGATGCTTCCTTCTCGTTTCTGCGTGTTTAATCATTGAATGATACTCCTGAAATGACTAAAAGATTGAACTCTGGCCATTTTGAGAGGATATCTATTTTTTATCTTCGCCCAAGAATGTGTTCATGATTTTTTTCCTTTGGTGGAGGGGGGAAGGAGAGAGAGAGAGAAAGAAAGAAACATCTGTGTGAGAGAGAAACATCAGTTGGTTGCTCCCCATATGCATTGAAACCCAGGGACCAAATCCACAACCTTTTGGTGTACAGGACGATGCTCCGACCCACTGGGCCACCCGGCCAGGGCCCTTTTTTCCTTCTTTCTTTAAAGCAGGGAGACTTGCTGTGGTTCAGGCTTGGATGCAGTGGAAGAATCGATAGAGTCTCGAGTGTTGTTATTACTGCGTTTGGAAGTTGTCTTTAGAAAAACTAGACACACCTGCTTTTTACTACCCAGAGTCAAAGACCACAATTCCAGTTCTGGCCCTCCGGTGCCCATTGCTTGGGAGAAGGACAGGTGCTTGTATCCGCAGATTTCTGCCTCTCCCGGAAGTCCTCCCTGCGAAGCCGTGCACAGAGCCTCCTCTCCAGAGGGGCCTTTGGCAGCGCTGTCTCAGCCGCACCGACCGTCCCACCGAGGAAGACACCCTCTCGGTTGCTAGATGACATCAGTCCTTCTGATTTCATTCAGGCACTGACCAGTCCCAGACCTTGACATGCAGACTGTCCCTTCCGCATAATGTGGGGTGCATTGCCATTGTGAGTCATTTCGAAGAGATTTACTAATTTAACAGAAATGTCTCCCTGGGTGTTTCTCAGTAGAAGTTAAAGGAGGTTTTCCTCTTACTTTGCAGTCATGAAAAGGCCCGATGGAAGGAACTGGGGCACTTTACCAGTGGAAGGGGAAACAGTTCATTTGTGAACTTGAAAATGTATATACACTATTTGCATTGATGCTCTGCAGGCTGATTCGTGTTAGGTTTGAATTCCACGTTTCTTTCCGCCTTTGTCCGGGCTTGCTGTGAGGAGTAATACAAAATAGTCCAACAGAACCTCTCCACTGAACAGATGCTCGTAGCACTCACAGCTTTGAAAGGCAAACACTCCAATCTGAAAGAAAATGTTTTTATTTTTTTATTTTTTTTATTTATTTATTTTTTATCCTCACCTGAGGATATTTTTCCATTTTTGTACAGATAGAGTGGGAGGGAGAGAGAGGGAGAGAGAGAGAGAAACTTCGACGTGAAGGAACACATCGAGTGGCTGCCACCCGCACGACCAACCAGGGCCGGGGACAAACTGCAACCGAAGTACGTGCCCTTAGCGGGAACCGAACCCGGGTCTCTCTGGACCGCAGGCCGACACTCTAACCGCTGAGCCAAACCGGCCAGGGCAAGAAAATGTTTTTAAAAACCCTGAATGGTGGTTGAAAAGGGAGGAAAAAATCAATTCTTTCCCTCTTTACTGTTGAACCTGCTCATCAGAGGCACAGCTGCAGGGAATGCTGACCAGAAAGCTCCCCGTTCGGGAAATGCCCGGTGGTCCTTCTGACCTGTGTGCCGGCTGTGACGTCGCTGTCACAGCGCCGAGCGGCGGCGCTTCTCACGAGAGCCCCCAGCTTCCTTTCGGTCCTCCGGGTGCTGAGTCGTCCGTTACTCACGGAGGAGAGACATGGCCCGAGACCAGATGCCGCGTGCTCAGCACCAGGCACGAGGCAGCTCTGGTGTGGGTGACGTCCCGGCGATGCGTCGGGTGACGCACCTGTGAAACGTCGGTGGGGAGCCGGGAGCCGGTCTGCTGCAACCTTGCTGAACGCAGACAGCTCGGGTCCCTGACAGGCCGTCCCCGTGACGAGCGGGGGCCACCTCTCCTGTCTCAGCGGCGCTCAGGGGTGACGGGCACAGCGTCGACGCCGTGTCTGCATTTGCAGGTGTTCCCAGCGAGTACAAGGACCGAGGTGGCTACGACAGCGACCCTGGCGAGCGGAAGGTCTGCAAGTTCAAGCTCGAGTGGCTGGGTAACTGCTCCGGACTGAACGACGAGTCGTTCGGCTACAAGGACGGCAAGCCCTGTGTCATCATCAAGCTCAACCGCGTTCTGGGCTTCAAACCCAAGGCGAGTGCCGGGCACCCCGGAGCCCGGACGGGCCGTCCGCCGGCGGCAGGTCGCGGGGAGCGGGAGGCCGGTGTACAGCGCTGGTCGTGGGGATGCTGCAGGCGGTCAGTAGAGTAGCAGAAACGTCCGTGTCCACCGGCCGGTCTTGCGGCTTCTCCTTCTCTTTCTGAAGCCCGAGGGGTTCGGAGCGCCAGAGCCCGGTTCTCACGGGAGCCTTCCGACCCTGCTCTGAGCGCGTCCTTGGTCTCCAGGGAGCGGCGTTTATAATGCTAGTTCTGAAAGAAAAAAACAGAAAAGGGTATTTTTAAATGTAAACGCTACCTGCACAGACAGGCATACTCCGCTTTTGGTGTCCCTGGAGCCAGAACCTTCTTTTAAAAAATTAACTGGTGATGTGAGAAAACAGTTTTTGTTTTTTTCCCCGATGGAAGATTTTTCTTGCAAACTTAGAAGCTGAAGAGGATCTAAGTTGAAGCTTCATAGCCGTGCTGTCGGCTCGGGCATCGCTGCCCCTCACGATGGGCGAGCTCCCGGAGACACGGCCACGGGGCATCGCTGCCACGGCGCACCTGTGGGAAGACTCCGTTGGCGGGGTCTCTGGTTCTGCGGGACGAGTTATTTCGCTCTCCGGGAGGCCATGCACAGCTAGCGCCGTCCTTTTCCCGAGCCCGGAGCCGGCCCTAGGAGCCGCGCCCGTCGCCCATGTGGGCGCTGCCAGGATGAGTGTTTTTGTTCCGCTAGAGGTCAACTGCAGTGTAACTGAACTGTATGAACAGAACTCACCTTGTTTCTAGAATCTGGCTCTTTTGTTCACCAGTTTTGTCTTCATATATATTTTCCTAACTGTTTTTATTGATTTTTTTTATTTTTTATCCTCACCCGAGGACATTTTTTTGTTTTTTGTTCAGATAGAGCGGGAGGGAGAGAGAGAAGGAAACATCAACATGAAAGGGACACATCGAGTGGTTGCCACCCACACAACCCAACCAGGGCCGGGGACACACTGCAACCGAGGTACATGCCCTTAGCGGGAACCAAACCCAGGTCTCTCTGGACCGCAGGCCCATGGCTCTAACCACTGAGCCAAACTGGCCAGGGCGTTATTGATTTCTTTAGAGAGGAAGGGAGAGAGAGAAACATCGATGTGAGAAACACTGATAGGCTGCCTCCCGCACAGCCCCTACTGGGTACTGAACCCACAGTCCAGCCATGTGCCCTGACCTGGAGTCCGGCCGGGACCTCTCAGTCCCCTGAGCCACGCCAGCTGGGCGTCACCTTCGTGTCTGTGCAGATGCACGATTGCTGGCGGAGAGTTCCAGGAGAGTCCAGTCTAGACGAGGGTACTTTCTGGTGTTACCAGCTCCGTGGTGGCACGGAGAACTGCCCGTCCTGTCTGACTGGTGAGCCTGGAACCGCTCACGTCAGGGCGCACGCGCGGCGCTCTGAGTGAGCCCGTGGCTTCCCCACGTGTCCGAGGGGTTCATGGCCTCTTCGCGGTGCGTTTCAGCCAGGGGTGCAGGAGGAAGGGGTGGCCACTGCAGCACAGCGGTGATTCTCAGCGTGGACTCTGGGTCCCTTCAGTGACGGACCCGTGCTCAGGACCCCGTCCTCAGGGCCATGCCCCTGTGTAAGTTGAGGACGGGGGACCTCCCTCACAGTGGGGAGTGCTCCCACACGGCAGTGTCCCCTGGAGGTGGAGGGGAAGACATTTAAAAAAAGTTAATGACAAACTCACTAGTGTGCGTTTTATTTTTAGCCTCCCAAGAATGACACCTTGGAGGGTCTCCCATTGCTGAAGTACAACCCCTATGTCCTGCCTGTCCAGTGTGCTGGCAAGGTAAGGGGACCTGGGGACTTGGGGGGGGGGGACAGAGGGAAGCTGTTCGAAGTGCGAGGTAGAATTTTACTGTGGGAAACGAGAAACATTGTTTCCAGGAAGTAATGTGTCCATCCATGGAGTTGTAACTCGACTGAGTAACACTTGAGAGCAGCAGGATGGAAGGAGCAGACCATGCCCGTCGCCCTGCTGGGCCAGGGAACAGAAAGGTCTGACTCTTAGCAAGTGGATACTACTTTCTAGAACTGAGAGGCGAACTGGCCCACCTGCGTGCTTCTCTGGCCCCGACCGATGGGGTGTGAACAGTTTTGAGGCCATCATTTCTTTTAAATTGGTAATTCCACATTTTTTTAAAAAAATTGTCTTTGGGTTCTCTCTTAAAAATTTTGAAACTAAGGGTAACACCCAGCACAAGATCTCTTTAGATCTAAACATAGATTCCTGGTGGCCAGTTGAGAGAGGATGGGAGCAAGGGAGTCGGCCCCAGACAGTCCTGTGCTGGGCTGCCACCGAGAAAGGAGATGGTCCCACAGAGGTGGAAGGCAGATGATTAGACTGTGGGGGTGGAGACACCACCTGTTCCTTGCAGTGTGGGCCCGGAGAAGTAGTCGGTTGACCTCCGTCTGTTTCCCTCTGTACGGTGAGAACGGCCTCTGTTTGGGACCGTTTCTCAAGGCTGCTTTCGAAGGCAGGGTGTGCTGTTGGCTGCGTCAGGTCCCGTGTCCTCCAGGGTTAATTCACCAGCTCCCGGCCCGCGGGCCGCAGAAGGCGTGTCCGTCACCGCTGGTCTTGGGCACTGCTGGGGGGTCCGGGAGTCCTGTGTGTGCGTGAGAGCGAGTCACGACCGGGGTGGGAACCTTTCACGTCTCATTTCCCTCCGGTTCTAGCGAGACGAGGACAAGGAGAAGATCGGCACCGTGGAGTACTACGGCCTGGGCGGCTACCCCGGCTTCCCCCTGCAGTACTACCCCTACTACGGCAAACTCCTGCAGCCCAAGTACCTGCAGCCGCTGCTGGCCGTGCAGTTCACCAACCTCACGCTGGACACCGAGGTCCGCGTGGAGTGCAAGGCGTACGGCGAGAACATCGGCTACAGCGAGAAGGACCGCTTCCAGGGACGCTTTGACGTGAAGATTGAAGTTAGGAGCTGATCACAAGCACAGATCTTCCCCACTAGCCATTTAAACGTTTAAAGAAAAAAAAAAAAGATACAAAAACCTACTAGTCTTGAACAAACTGTCATACGTATGGGACCTACACTTAATCTCTCTGCTTCACACTAGCTTTCCGCATTTAATAGGTTAGAATGTAAATTTAAAGTGTAGCAATAGCAACAAAATATTTATTCTACTGTAAATGACAAAAGAAGAATACAAGTTGAGCCTGGGGACGTGCCATTTTTACTGTAATTATGATTCCGTGACTGAGGCGCAGTGGGCGGGGCCGGCCCGCGTGGGCCGCCGCGTGTCTTGTTCGGCGTGGTCCTCCGGGCGCGCACCCGGTCACTGCTGAAGCCATGTTTTACCGTGTCTGTTTTCTACTTTATGTGAGCGAGGTTTGCTGTCCGAGGTGTACATATGCAATGGGAATAAAACTGGCATGGTACTTTTTTGGGGGGGAGGGGTAGGCTCTTTCAAAGATAACGACCCGCCAGCGAGCATTTTAAACACACTCCATAGTCTCTTCCTGTGGTGTGAGGTCTTTTTTCTTTTTTTCCCGGGGGTGGGTGGGGTGGGCTGTCCTGGGGAACTGCCCTTGGCATTTCCAGCGGCGCTACAGAGAAACACAGACAGGTGGGGGGTTGTGCTGTGCTGGTCCTGAATGCTGTCCTGCCCTCTGCCCTCTGCCCTCTGCCCTCTGCCCCAGTGCGTCCTGCGGCCGGGGCCGGCCCGTGGGCTCGCTTTGCGCACCCCCTTTCCTTTGGAGGCATCGTGTGCTGGTGCTGTGTCTTCATGAATGTTTTAACCATTTTCATGGTGGAAGAATTTTATATTTATGCAGTTGTACAATTTTTTTTTTTTTTCCTGCAAGAAAAAGTGTAATGTATGAAATAAACCAAAGTCACTTGTTTGAAAAATAAATCTTTATTTTGGACTCTCTGAAGGCAGTGCAGTCCCCCCGACTGGCGTTTCGTGTCGCCTGCAGCGCGGCCCCATGCCCTCGTGTGTACTGGCACCGGGACGACAGTGCTCTTGTTGATCTTGTGCTCGGTCAGGTTCAAACCGTGGACAATAAAAGAATGAACACGTTCCTTGCGTGCGTGGTTCGCTGTCCTCCGAGGGCCCCATTCTGTGGCTTCTTTATTTCCCGCACGGCTAATTATCCAGGATCTTGAAGAAATACTGCACCTGAAAGACAACATGATGTCAGTGTGGTGCACACGGGAGGTCGGCCTCCACCTGGGTGGGCTCGTGGGAGGGCCGAGCCCCAGCCCAGGGAGATTTCAAAATCAGGGACATTTCAAGGTGCTACTTCACCTTGTTTCGAAGGCAGGAACTCTGGGTTCCTGTTGGTGTTTCACTAGATACATCTGTTCTTTTAAAAAGTCCCAGTTGTTAGTAGTTTAGTTAAAAAAAAAAAAAAAGAGGTTAAGTTGGAGGTTTGGTAAATTAAGAAGGTTCATACCTTTTTTTGGTTTGTGGTTTGGCCTAAGTCCTTACTTAGCCTTATTTATTTATTCATTTATTTATTTTATCCTCACCTGAGGACATTTTTTCGATATTTTGTTCAGATAGAGTGGGAGAGAGAGAGAGAGAGAGAGAAACATCGACGTGAAAGGGACTCATCGAGTGGTCGCCACCCACACGACCCAACCAGGGCCGGGGACAAATTGCAACCGAGGTACGTGCCCTTAGCGGGAACCGAACCCGGGTCTCTCCAGACCTCAGGCCAATGCTCTAACCGCTGAGCCAAACCGGCCAGGGATACTTAGCCATATTTAAAAATGAGCTTCAGCTAGAAGACAAAAAGCTTTTTAAAAAGTTATCAGGTACAATTGAGCTGAAGGTTTAGCACCCTTAACCCACGCGGGGACACCCAAACAAGAATCGTGGCGTCTGATTTCTGGACGAAGCCACTTGCAGAGCCCGTGCAGCCGGGCCCTCCTCCACCCCCCCAGGACGAGCAGCACCACCTCTCACGGTGCAGGTGCTGTCCAGGGAAGACGGTGTCTCAGGGTGGACCAGAAACGGGGGTCACAGCTGACACTCGCATTTACAGCTGGCTTATCTGCTTCTCGGCACAGCCACTGGCCGGCTCCGAAGCCCCAACCGCGCAGGAAACGCAGGATGCGCACGGCCACACAGGCCTCAGAGTAGCCCCCCCACACGCACAAACAAGCTGTGGTTCTGTGACAGGACGGTTGGTGTTGCTGAGACGGCTCATTTCGCAGGGTCTCCAGTGTGACGTTTAGGAACCAGAAGGGGAATGACTTAGGTCTGGAGAAAGAGGAGCATTCACTCACAGTGGAGGGTGGTGTGCATTTCTGAGGCTGTTCTGAGGTTGCAACCTTAGACAAACGTGACCCACTCACTGCTTTTGCGGACCTTCTGTTCTGAGCTGTCGTGTGTGTGCGGGTGCACGTGTACATGTGTGTGCGTGCATGCATGCATGCGTGTGTGCACTCTGCCTACCACTTCCTTCAAGATTCTGCCCAGTCTTGCTTCCCTGTCACCTGCTCAGACCGTGCCCACCTGTTCTCCACCTGTGGCCTCAGGGTTGTACCTCCAGCCAGGAGACAGGAGCGGAATCGTTTCCCTGTAACCTGCTCAGACCGTGCCCACCTGTTCTCCACCTGTGACCTCAGGGTTGTACCTCCAGCCAGGAGACAGGAGCGGAATCGTTTCCCTGTAACCTGCTCAGACCGTGCCCACCTGTTCTCCACCTGTGGCCTCAGGGTTGTACCTCCAGCCAGGAGACAGGAGCGGAATCGTTTCCCTGTAACCTGCTCAGACCGTGCCCACCTGTTCTCCACCTGTGGCCTCAGGGTTGTACCTCCAGCCAGGAGACAGGAGCGGAATCGTTTCCCTGTAACCTGCTCAGACCGTGCCCACCTGTTCTCCACCTGTGACCTCAGGGTTGTACCTCCAGCCAGGAGACAGGAGCGGAATCGCTCCCTGGGGCCTGCTCTGCGCCAAGCTCTTGTCTCAGTGGGGGGCGGGTCCACTAGCGAGCAGAGCACCGTGTCTTCAGCCATGTTGCTGATGAGGAATGATAACCTTTTATGGTTGAGCCACTGAGGTCTTGGGGCTTATTTGATAATGTGGTTAATATAATTCCTTTTTCAAACCAAAAAAGTGAAAGATCTGTACTCTGAAAACTAAGACACTGAAGAAAGAAATTGAACAAGAATACAAATAAAGGGCAGGCTATACCTTGCTCGTGGGTTGGGAGGAGTAACTGTTAACATGTCCTTACTACTAAAGCAAGCTGCAGACTCACTGCAATCTCTAGCAGAATAACAATGGCATTCTTCTCAGAATTAGAACTAATCCTAACATTTATAGAGGATCACAAAAGACCCCAAATAGCCAAAGAAAACTGGAGAAAGAACAAAGTGGGTGGTATGCTCCCTGATATCAAACTATATTACAAAGTTACAGTCATCAGAACAATATGGTACTGGCACAAAAACAGATATAGATCAATGGAACAGAATAGAGGCCGGGAATAAATTTTCATTTACATGGTCAATTAATCTACAACAAAGGCAGCAAAAATATACAATGGGGTAAAGAGTCTCTTCAGTAAGTGGTGTTGGGACAATTCGACAAATAAGTGCAAAAAATAAACCCGCCACTTTCTTGCACCATATACAAAAATAAACTCAAAATGGATTAAATACTTAAATGTTAGACCTGCAACCATAAAGCTAGAAGAAAATACAGGCAGTGAACTCTGACACCACTCTCAGCAATACCTTTCAGGATATGTCTCTTCAGTAAGAGAAACAAGAAAAAATACACAGATGGGACATCAATGTTAAAAAGGTTTTGCACAGTGAAGGAAGCCATCAACAAAATGCAAAGACAACACACTGAATGGGAGCAGGTATTCACAAATGATACATCTAATAAGGGATTAATATCCAAAATACGTAAGAACTCATAAACCTTAACACCAAAACAAACAAACAAAAAGAAACCAATGCAGTTAAAATGGGCAGAGAACCTGCATAGACATTTCTGCCGAGAGGACATACAGCTAGCCAACAGACAAGAAAATGTGCGTTACAACCACAGTGAGCTACCACCTCGCACCTACTGTCATCGGTAAGTCAACAAGCAGTAAGCGCTGGGAAGCTGCAGAGAAGAGGGAGCCTTGTGCTCCGGTGCTGGGATTATAAACTGGTGCAGCCACAATGGAGAACCGTACGGAGACTCCTCAAAAATGTTAAAAATACAACTACCAGACGACTCCCTGATTTCACTTCTGGATGTTTGAAGAAAACAAAAACACTGATTTGAAAAGAGACACAATACAGAAGCACTCTGGATGCCCATCGGTAGATGAGTGGACAAAGACGATGTGGTACACACATAATGGGATACTACTCAGCCATAAAAACCATGAACTCTCGCCCTTTGCGACAACATGGATGGACCTAGAGGGCATTATGCCAAGTGAAACAAGTCAGAGAAAGACAAATACCGTGTGATCTTACTTATATGGGGAATCAAAAAAAAAAGTGAATGAACGAAGCAGAAGCAGACCAGAGAGAGACCACACGCTGGTGGCTGGTGGCTGGTGGCTGCGGGGGGCGGGAGCTGGGAGACGAGACAACAAACAAGTAAGCGGAGCCCCTGCTTCTGGAGCTGTAGCGAGACCCTCCCTTCTCGTCAGTCCACGTCGCCCCCGCAGCTCCGACGTTTCCCGGGTGCAGGGAGCCTGCCTCCTGCCTCCTTCTCGGTACTCGTACCACATCTCAGACAGGTCCAGCCAATCGAATACTGAACTCCTGGCGCAAACTAGGGAGGGGAGGAGTTTCCACAGGTGGCTGAGGTCCCCGGAAAAGCATCCGGAGGTTCCATGAGAGAAACGGAGGCAGCCCTGGCTCCGCGCCTTTGGCAAGAAATGTTATCCTGGTGGGACTCGGGAACTCCTTCACATCGTATTTCTTTTATCATCTCCAGTTAAGGGCAAGTAATCCTAATTTTCCACTTACGACAGTAAGGTAGATTTAAGTATAATAACTAAGGTACTTAAAGGACAATAGGAAATAAAATTTCAGCTGGTTCTCAGATGTGGTAAAAATCACGAGAGTGATACATGGCTGACTAGAATTTAAGAACCTTTGCTCAAATTGCAACATTGAAAGAAGCCAAGGTTTTCGGTTTGGGCAAAATCTAGTTTGAACTCGGTTTTAGAACAATAGCTGCACTCATTACCAGAGGGCACCGCTCCAGGTCCAAATTAAAAACGTTATCCGTGATCAGAGACAGAAATCCAGTTATCAGGAGCTTTTGAAGCCCACTGATCACGCAAACTCCCAGCTTCTCAGAGGATTAGTGACGCTTGGGTGTGTGCATTTGGCCCGCGGAGGACCAAGCGAGGGTACTTGGAAAGCCCAGGGCGAAGGACCTGGAGAACGGAGGGAAGCTGGTAGTGAGCTGTCATGATCAGCTTTAATCGAGTGAGTCAGGTGACCGCGGTGTCCGATTCAAGAGGAAGGTGCCCGTCTCTTCTCTGGGAGCGGCTAGCACTGACCAGACATGACCCGGCCGCCCTCTGGGCGTTCCTATTGCTAGCAGCCCAATTCTCAGAGGATACGAATGACTGTAACGACCACGACAATAACGCTGGTGACAGCAGCCCTGTTCGGAATGCTTTGCACTCATGGTCTCCCCCGATACTCACACTGCGCTGACCTACGTCACGACGTCTGTACGGCAGTCTAGGTGAACACGCGACGGGGTACGCACCGGAAATAGGTTGGCTCACACACCTGAAATCTATGTGGTTATCAACCAAGGTCACCCCCACACTAATTTAAAAAGTCCTAGAACACACAGAACGAATGCTGACGGAGCGCGAAGGCCGACCACGCAGCGCGAGAGAAAACCTGCCGTGAGGGTCAGCGTGTCCGGCTGCGCTGGTCGCCCCCGACTCGCGGCCAGAGCACTGCTGCCGGCCGGCCTCCCTGCAGGCGTCGGGCTGGGCGTCTCCTGGCCGGCCCAGGTCCTACTCTTGCCCGTGGAGCCATCACCCAGGGAGCCCACTGGCACCAGATCCAGTGGTGGTTTCCCCAGTGCGGGCACCCCCCAGGGACCCGGCTCTCCCCACACAGGGCACCCCCCCAGGGACCCGGCTCTCCCCACACAGCAGGGCACCCCCCCAGGGACCCGGCTCT